TTTGTCATTAATTTCTGCTCGATTAGCACTCACAGATCGGGGATCGCGAAACCTTAATTTTTCACCCACATTTCACAGATTGTGAATTATCTCAACCTATATCATGGCGGTAGATGGTGATTCTTCGAATTCAACTGATTTACCAAATGCAAACAGGGATACGTTAGACTCAACCAATCCTTTGTACATGCATTCTTCAGAAAGTGCCGGGTCGACACTGGTGTCGGTAGTATTTGACGGAACTGGCTATAGATCTTGGAGAAGAGGCGTCCTCAGAGCTCTCTCAGTGAAGAATAAGGTCGGCTTTATCAATGGAAAGTGTAAGAAGCCAGATTCCAACCATCCGACGTTTGAACAGTGGGAGAGGTGCGACGATATGGTAACGTCGTGGATTCTCAACTCACTCTCAAAGGATCTAGCGGACAGTTTGCAATATGTAGTCGATGCGAAAGAACTATGGCAGGAACTGGAGGATAGGTACGATCAGACGAATGGAGCAAAATTGTACCAGCTTGAAAGGGAAATCAATGACCTAAGTCAGGGAACCCTAGACATTACAGGATACTATACGAAAATGAAGAAGATTTGGGAAGAATTAAACACTCTAAATGTGCATACTCAATGCAAATGCCAATGTACTTGTGGTGCCAAGGCAAGTATGCAGAAGGCAGAACAGGACAGGAGGTTAATTAGGTTTTTAATGGGATTGAACGAGGTTTATACAGTCGTGAGAGGGAGCATTTTGATGATGAACCCGTTGCTCGGGATTGCACAAGCCTTTTCTATCCTAATCCAAGAAGAAAAGCAAAGGGAAGTTAGACCAAACAATCATCTGATGATAGAGTCTGCCTCAATGAATGTCAATGGACCTGCAAATCCAGGCTTTAGGACCAACTATGCTCAGCAGAGAAATAACATAGGGAACAACTCATATAGAGGCAATTATCCATCAAACAGGGCACGCCTATTTTGTGATTACTGCAAGAAGCAAGGACACACTAGAGACAAATGCTACAAATTGCACGGATTCCCCCAGGATTTTAAATTCACTAAAGGGAAAAATGTAGC